ATCAGACTTATATAGAAATTGCCTAAATCTATTTTTACTATGTATTTTTAGTCTTAATTTAGCTAGAGAAACAACTGGTAGCTACTCCCAACTAATTTCAAATATCAAAACTGAGTCACAATGAAAAAAAAGTCGACAAAATTTTAAATTTCAAATCATTTTACATAAAAAGTTGAAATTGAAATTTTAGCTGAATTGATCTAAAGATTTCATTTGTAACTTAAAATTGTCTGATATTAAGTTGTCATTAGGTGCAAAACTGTCAGCTTATTACTTTAAAGTTTATTTATTATAATTAAGGGCTTTATTATATGTTTTCGTGCATTTATCATTGTATATTTTCTGTTAAATTTGTCATGTTAGATAGATAAATGTTATGTGGTTTATTCATACATAAGCTTTTAATATACCTTGTGAAATAATCAATTGCATTTTCTCATGATATTTATGCTTATCAAGTTCATTTTATTGCTCAGTTTAAAATGAATACAAAATTATTTATTTTTAATATACATGTTTTTTGTTATGTGTTTATGATTTGTTAAACCTTTAAATTTCAAAACTTATTGATCATAAGGATTTGCTTTACAAGGAAATAAGTTAATATAAACTAGTTACATATAATAGATAAGAAAAATCAAATGTTTTCATTAGCTTTAGAAATAATCCTGCTTGTAAAAAAGTAGTACCTATGTTCTGTCTAGTACAGATATATAAATCTAATAATATAATATGACAGACCATATATACTGTATGTCACCTTTGTGCAGTAATGGGTTAAGTCCTTCTAACTCTTATAGGACTAATGACCAGTTATTGCACTAAGGTGACAAATAGTCTTATAGATTGAACTGCAGGATTAACACCTCTGATAATCCTTTTAATATTTCTTTGTATGGAAATAACAGTTTTAATTGTTGATTTTTGCTGTTTGATTTATTAAATGTACTTAGTTTCGAAAAATAAAAAATATTATATATGAAACAGTGTGTCAACCAACGCAAAACAAAGGGGCGTACATAGCCGCTAGGTTAAGGTTGTTGACTTCAAACCACTTGCCCCTCACTGCTGTGGGTTCGAATGCCGACAGGGACTTTGGATTCTTTCATGTGAGGAAGATGATCCAGCTAGCTTACGAAATGTTGGTGGTTCTACTCAGGTTCCCGTTTGTGCCTGAAATATTATGCAGTGCGGGCACCTGAGGTCTTCCTCCACCAGTAAAGCTGGAATGTCGCCAAAAGACTTATACTGTGTCGGTGTGACGTAAAACCCAATCAAACCAAAAACAAACAAACAACGCAAAACAATAAGAAATAAAAATGAAAAAAGAAGAGCATAAATTATCATTATAAGCTAACTGACAAACTGCATGTCAGAGTTGTGTAATAAAGATATGGGGATATTTATATACTCTATAGGCATGTTTTCTTGATCATGGGAACTACCATGTTTTAGGTTCAGATAAATAAATGTTCATTGATTTAATATTATATCATTCTCCTGCAAGGGTTGTTAGATCGTTCCGTAAGAGTTTTTGAAGCCTATTTATTCTTGGACTATAATTAAAACTAGTTGCCCTTTGACAAATTTAAAATAAGACCCAAATTTTCCCCTTTTCTGGTTAATTTTTTTTCAGAAAATTTTTTGTAATTTGCTATTTATAAAAATTAAATGTTTTGGAATGTTTAAAAATTTAAAAGTCCAAAAGGGGCCTTTACTTTAAATTAAAAATTTTTTTTCATAAATAGTTTTAAGATTTTCAAAAAAATACCCCCAAATTTTAAGGGGAAATTTTTTGCCAATTTTTTTTCAATAAGAAAATTTTATCTAAAATATGGGGGAGCACTTTGAATACTGATTTTCAAGAAGTTGTCAACCCTCCAAAATTGGGAACTTTTCAAATCTCAAAAATTTTTTTCAAGTCCATAGCCAAAAAAAAAAAACTAATTTAACATATCTAAAATTCATCATCTTGTAAAGTATAATAGTAAATATGTAGTCTTATAAAAGTTGAGATTATATTAATTATACTGTAATTATAACATTTTGTAAATTGAGAGCTAAATTAATCTCACTTTAGTTGCTATCATTTTCCTTTTTTTATGTGCAGGATCTCACGAGTTACTTCCCTTTGTTGTCACAGACTAAAAAAGTCAAGATTTAAACATTTTTTTATTGGTTTTTGTGTGCAATCTTACATTTATTTGTTACTTTACAGACTTGATCTTATCAAATTAATCCAATTTAAGTTTTGAATGACCGTAGAAATTTGAATGTACGTAAAAATAACAAGTCTATTAGACCTTCTTTGTGAATTTCTTATTTCTGATGATTGTAGATTTGATAAAATTACATTATAACTTTGATACCAGTACATCTTTTTTCCTGTCCCTGACCTAGATAAAAATATTTTAGTTTGAAAAGAAAGTTGAAATTATATATTTCGATTTAATGTTAGCCTTACGTGATTTCATTAAATTTGAATTATTTACTTAATAAAAAACATGTTTATAAGTTTGTAGAGCCTTGTAATAATATCAAATAACATAAATATCTCGAAACCTGAGTGATTTTCAAGATTTTTTTGCGTGTGATTATAATTTATTTATATATAGAAACAAGTCAAACGAAAACAATTTGAATTACTCATGCCAATTCTTTGAATGAAACAAATACAGTTTTAGTTTGCATGACATGGAAGTAAAAAAATTTTTGTCTAGATATTTTTATTGTTTTTTTCCAGTTGTTTATTGTTTGTTATATTTAACTAAACCATCCTAGTTAAATTATTGACTGATTGTGATGGAAATTGTATTCTTAATAGTTAATACCTTAATAGACTATTAAGTGCTTTTTGCAATATTTGTTTTAGGTGGATCATTAAGGCTTAATAAGTAGTTTATATATGAAATTTCTATCAATTGATCACAGTTGAACCTTTTTGGCTAATCAGAGACACTGGAATTATTACAATATTGTACTGATTGTTCTTTATTTATTCCATTTTCAAGCCTCATTTTGTATAAGTATATAATTAATTATTTTCTAAAAGTATGGTTTCACATTGATATTTTTTCCATTACTCTTTTCACCCCCTCTTTTTATCTCCTATTAAGGTAGGAAGAAATTTTCTTCAGTACTCCTTTCACCCCCTCTATACCTCCTATTTAGGTTATGTTCATTCTCCTCTATACCTCCTAAGGAAGAAAGACATTTCTTCAGTTCTCCTTTCACACCCTTTTCTAATAGTCTCCTAAGGTAGAAAGAAATTTTCTTCAGTACAAAAATCTCTCACCCCCTTTTCTATACCTCTTAAGGTAGAAAGAAATTTTCATCATTACTCCTTTCACCCCCTCCTCTATATGTCCAAATAACTCATCCTTCAGTCTCTACCTTTGTATTTGAATTACAATGTATATCAAAATATTCCACCTCTGTCTCTACCTTAATCTAGAACTCCCACCTCACCTTACAATATACCTTTTCTACATTTAACTCTTTGCCTCCATTTGGCTACCACCTGTTTCTCTACCTTATCTCACTAAATCTACCTCTTAACCTAATTTTCTCTTATATCTCTGTACATTCTCAGTTCTTCTCTTTCTCAGTCTGTCTACCTCTTTCTCTCTACCTGATATCTCTACCAGATCTCTTAACCTCCACCTTTATCTCTCTATTTCTTGTTACTTTTCCTCCTCATTCTAAATAATTACTATCTCTTTTTCTTCACCTCTATCTCTCTATTTCTCTTCTCTTCCTTTATCTCACTATCTCTTTTTCTCTACCTCTATCTCTGTACCTCTATCTGACTTAACCTCATTTTCTCTACCTTCTCTAATACCTTCTCAATGAGGAAAAAGTACGAGTCACACCTCATTATTTGAATTTCTTCACCTTATAATCTACAGCTCTTAAGCTGGCAGGGTATTATTGTAAGCGTGAATCATAATTTACATGAAATTATTACAATTTATTTTTTTGTGTGTGTGCAATTTTAAAATAAATATTTGTTTATGCACGAAAGAATGCACATTCTCATCAGTGTTTGTGGTTGGTATATTATTATACCAAAATTGTATTTAATGGCCTCTTCAGTTTTAAATTACTCAGTTCTTCACATTATTTTCCACCCACTTATAAAAGATTTTGTGGTTACTTTACATGTTTAATTTGATGTTGAAATTGTGCAATTGAGATACATAGTGAGATAAAGTATATTTGTTTTTGACAAGTTTCAACTAACACGACAAAATGTGATAAAGATAATATGAAGTTTTTGCCAGAACATGCTTTTTGTTTACCTATACTTATGGGGGAAGTACTTGTCTCTTAAATTTAAATAGTTGACATTCTTTTAGTCTATTCCACCCCACAGAACTTCAAACTTCAGTGGTATTGACAATAGACTTACTTCGGAATTAAGAATATTTGGGTTTTTCCTGGTACAAACAAACTTTTACATTTTCAGCCTCAAAAATAAGTGCAACTATTAGATTGACTATTCTATTGTGACAGGTAGTGCACCTTGAAGCTATAACAGTAAAAGTTTCCTACGGATTAGCTGGGAAAAACCCACATTTTCCGGGTTCGGGATGACATCTTTTAAATATCTGCTGTTCTTAGTGGTCATTATGTAAAGATCTTGGCTACTCAGTACAGTGCTACTGGTCAGCCTGCACAAACATGATCATGCCAATTCTGTTTCTATTCTCAACTGTTGGCAGTTTAAATTTTGATTTTTTTGGTGTTTAAAACCCCTTAGCAATAATAGATACTGTCTGTGATACCCCTCTTCTCGAAAGTAATAATTTATCTCCCCCCTATAAAAAAAAAATCTGTGAACAAAAAAAAATCAGATCCACAGTAGCACATAAAAATAATGGTATTTTATTTCAATTTGATAAAAAAAAATTATGTAGCCTCAAAAAATAAAATTATCATTTATAGAACAATGTGTCTGATATTTTATATACAATTTTTGTCATATTGTATATTTTCAGTGTTGTGTTAAACGTCTTTCAAGTCATCAGAATGCTCAGCTCCACTACAAGGCTGTGTGCCGTGCCCTCGCCACAGAGACCACGGAACTTGTTACCTTTCTTGATAACATTGTTAAAGGACAAGAGGTAGGTGATAATATTAAGTTCCTTGGTTTCAGTATAGATTAAATTTCATCTTCTCTCAGACTCATTGGATCAACTTATGATGAAAAATAAAATATGATGAAAATGCCCGGTCAGCTAAAATTTTGTAACATGAGCGGATTGACTCAAATTTGCAATGACTAAAGGAAAAAAATTAAATACAACTAGTTACTTACACCTAAAGGTTTATTTACTTAGTTATATAATATTATGATATTTTGCAACCATTTAAATTGTTGTTTTTTTGGGGGGTCTTCTTTTTTTTGTTATTCAAAAATGATTATAATATTTACAGCCAGATCAAATTCATGAGTCATTGTTAAATATTTTACCTTGAGAGGTCACAGCAACTTGGTGGTCTTAATTGATTGAACTAAAAGGGCTATTGATAAATCCTTAACCCATATATAAAGGGCCACTTGCTATTGCGTTATAATTGGTATTTTAAGACGGGTTTGAATTATATATTACAGTGTTTCTTAAAAAAAAGTACATTTCTGACATTTCAGAAGTTGGCTACCACTGGTCATGCTGGTGATGACCAACCCTCAGTGGACGACCTTGAAAGGTCAGATTGGGTAAGTACTTGGAGAAAACCAAAGTTCCAAAGATATATAATTCAGATAGGAATTAATTCATAAGCATATGTTGGAATGCCATAAGTCCATATAAAAAATATTTTGTTTAATGATGGAATTGACAAATCACAGCCTTTGTATTCTTTACAAAGTAAACAATGCTTTCAATTGAATAAGTTTTCTTCACTCACAAAGTTTACAATGCTCTCAATAGGACAAGATTTCTTCTCTAAGTTTACAGTGCTTTCAATAGCACAAGTTTTCTTCACTTAAACTTTAGGATGCTTTCCATATTACAAGTATTCTTCAATAAGCTAACAATGCTTTCAATAGGTAAAGTATTCTTCTCTAAGTTTACAATGCATTGAATTGGTCAAGTATCCTCCACTACATTTAAAATGCTTTCAATAGGTCAAATATTCTTCACTAATTTTACATTGCTTATAATAGGTCAAATATTCTTCACAGATTTTACAATGCTTTTGACACAAAGTTTACAATGATTTCAATAGGTCAAATATTCTTCACTCAGTTTACAATGCTTTCATTTGGTCAAGTTTTCTTCACTAAGTTTGAATTTTTTTGCTTTCAATAGGACAAGTATTCTTCAATAAGTTAACAATGCTTCTAATATGTCAAGTATTCTTCATTAATATTACAATGCTTTCAAAAGGTCAAGTATTCTCCACTACATTAAAAATGCATTCAAATAAACAAGTACTTTTCACTAAGTTTACAATACCTTCAATAGGACAAGTATTCTTCACTTAGTTCAATACTTTTAATATGTCAAGAATTCTTCACTTAGTTTACAATGCTTTCAATATTACAAGTATTGTTCACTTATTTTACAATGCTTCCAATAGGACAAGTATTCCTCACTTAGTTAACAATGCTTTAAATAGGTCAAATATTCTTCACAAAGTTTACAATGCTTTCAATAGGACAACTATTGTTCAGAAAGTTTACAATGCTTTCAATAGGTCAAGTATTCTCCACTTATATTACAATGCTTTCAATAGGTAAAGTATTCTTCACTTAGTTTTCAATGCTTTAAATGGGTCAAATATTCTTCACTAAGTTTACAATGCTTTCAATAGGTCAATTATTCTTCACTTAGTTTACAATGCTTTCAATAGGTCAAGTATTCTTCACTAAGTTTACAATGCTTTCAAAAGGACAAGTAGTCTTCACTAAGTTTACAATGCTTCCAATAGGACAAGTATTCTTCACTAAGTTTACAATGCTTCCAATAGGACAAGTATTCTTCACTAAGTTTACAATGCTTTCAATAGGTCAAGTATTCTTCACTAAGTTTACAATGCTTTCAATATTACAAATATTTTTCACTATGTTACAATGCTTTCAATAGGACAAGTATTCTTCACTAAGTTTACAATGCTTTCAATAGGTCAAGTATTCTTCACTGAGTTTAAAATGCTTTCAATAGGTCAAGTATTCTTCACTAAGTTTAAAATGCTTTCAATAGGTCAAGTATCCTTCACTACTAAGTTTAAAATGCTTTCATTAGGTCAAGTATTCTTCACTAAGTTTACAATGCTTTCAATAGGTCAAGACATTAGTATTCTTCACTAAGTTTAAAATGCTTTCAATAGGTCAAGTATCCTTCACTACATGCCTTCAATAGGTCAAGTATTTTTCATTAAATTTACAATGCCTTCAATAGGACAAGTATTCTATACTAAGTTTACAATGCTTTCAATAGGACAAGTATTCTTCACTAAGTTTATAATGCTTTCAAAAGAACAATTATTCTTCACTAAGTTTACAATGCTTTCAATAGGACAATGCTAGCTATTAGACTTATGTCCATATCACCACACTATGTTATACAATCAGAGACAATGTGGGAGTGTATTTTCACTGCTTGTGAATGTTCCTATAAATGGATGAATTACACCAATTATACTCCAAGTAAAAACATACAAATTACTGTAATTATGCTCTTATTTTATGTTTCGTTTTCTAGAATAGGACATTTCCTTGTGTGTGTTGAAATACTTTCTATGAATATGTTTAAATATTACTAGACTGGTTAAGGTATTCCAACCATCAAATTTTCTTATAATGGTGGGTAATTTAGAGTGCATTCCAAGTTCTTGTACCATTCATTTTAATTTTTTTGCTGAGTTTTGCTTCTCCTGTCAAATTGTTGACTCTGTCAAAAATGAGTGAGGAATTATACATCTATTTAATATTCAAGCGGGAGATAGTCAACCCAGTCAAAAATACAAAGGGGAAATTGTCTGCTCTGTTGGAATTAAAGTTGGGAATTGTTGGCCTTATCAAAAATACTAGTGCGGAATTGTTACCTCTGCTAAAATTACAAATGGGAATTTTCCTGTTAAGTATATGGATGAAAAATTTTCCTCCCTGTGGCCCAGTCAAATGTATTAATTGAAAATTTTCCTCCTGGTCAAAGATATATAATGTGATATTGTCCATCCTATCAAGTATACAAGTGGGGAATAGTCTGCCTTGTCTTAAATATGAGTTTCGAATTGACTGCCCCATCAAAAAATGAAGAGACGATTTTAATTCTAGACTGAGAATATGACAGGAGAGGTGGGCAATTTACCCACTGATTACAAAAACCAATGATTTAAACGAGCAGGAAATTGTCCTGGAGGAAAATAGTCTGTGTTTCTTTCCCTATCCTATTAATCCCAATTTAGCGTTATTTTAAATATATTTGTGGACAAAGATTTGTTTTCCTTTACAATCACATTAGCATTCATGTGATTATGTCAGACTCAAACAAAATACAAACATCCCTTTATTTTCTTGCCAGTCAAAACTATAAGCCAGACAAATTCAATCAACAAATTCAGGATTAGTAAAGGTTAATTGATGTGAAAAACATGTTTTGATTACCAGACAAAAGTTGTATTTTCTTTTTTTTGCAGGCAAGGTTATGGGTACAGATCATGCGTGAGTTACGGCATGGGGTACGGTTAAAAAAGGTCGAGCAGGTTCATCTACTTCCGGTTGAGTTTGAGTTGACACCGTTTGAGATTTTGCTTGAAGACATTCGCCTTGGCAGATATAAACTGAACCGGATAATGGTAGGTATAAATTATGAAAGATTTGCATGCTGTCATAATTAAAAAGCCAAATTATCATTTGCAGATATTCAGACTAATGGCTCAACATTCTGCTACAGTTTCTGAGCATTTTAGTGTACTTGTACATAAGATAAGGTTTCTTCATTTACTACTATAGCCTTTAAGTGTGCTTGTACATAAAATCAGGTTTCCTAGCTTTTTACTTAGCACTTTAGTGTACTTAAGTAGTAAGCAAGGAAAAGATTATTTGATGTATTTGTGCATTTTAGAAAACAGAAAATCTAATGCACTGATTATTTTTTCTGGCTAGATTTGAATAAAAGCTATATGAAATAACATTTATACCTTTTGTAATGCAACAGAAACAAGACTTTTTTCATCAAGACAAAAATATAATTTCCCAAGTACATTTTCTTCTGGCTAAAGCCATAAAATTAATGTGCACAAAATTAAATGATTTCTTTGCATGTCCCGTTAACAATTGTAACTAATGAAAGGCTTTTATTGTTTTTATGTTCAATAACATGAATGCAGCCTTTTATGTTATTCTCTTTTTCATGAATGGTTGTTTCACATTTATATACTATTAATTACTTTTGCGAGCATATTTCGTGATAATGTAATGTAGATCTAACCAAATAAGGTTTGTGTTTGAATTGTTTGGAGTGTGATGGGAGTACAGTAATGTTACAAGATTCTGATTGTGTCGCTTAATAATAGTAACATCCTATCATCAAAACAGTATTATTAATCTATTTTTTAACACAATTTTAGCTCCACTTTTCAAAGATGAGAAAAAAGTGTAGCAAATGCCATGACCTTACCTAGTTGCTGGCATTGATGTTGGTTAACCTTTTTTTTGTTATGATACATTTTCCCAGAATTTATCAAAGCTTTTCTTTTCAAACTTGATATTCATGTTTATTGTCAAATTTTATTTAAAAAAGGGCAGATAATCCTAAAAATTGATTTTTGTTATGCCCCCTTCTCTTGACTATGCTTTGCCTATACTATTAAACACTGAGAAAAAGGGGCGGTTGCTGCCTGGACACAGGTCTTGTTTTTAACAGGCAGTCATATCTAAAATGTTCCTGTCCTATTTAATATACATATTAGCATTAAGTTGTCAATTAATGATTAATATTAATATCCTCTATTAAAGCATATTAATGTGTTTCTATTTATATAACACATGTATATAACAAGTTCAGCATGGTGATGTATTTGTACCTATAGGTAAATGGTGACATTCCAAGACAGGTGAAAGATGATGCTCATGCTGTAATACTGGACTTCATAAGATCCAGACCCCCACTTAAACCTGTAAGTTCTAACATTCTATCATATGTATATACTAATACCTTGCTTGCATGTGATTTATATAAGCTCTTATGCATGTGTGACTGAACACATTAGAATTTGCTTAAACACATAATAATTTGCCTGAATACATAATAAATTGTTTGAATACACAAGCATTCACCAGAACACATAAGAATTTGCCTGAATAAATAAAAATTTGTCTGAGCACATACGAATTTGCCTGAATAGGTATGATTTTGCCTGAATACATAAGAATTTATCTAAGAATATAATAATTTGCCAGAGTGTTTAAAATTTGCCTGAATTCATGTGAATTTGCCTTAACACATCAAAATTGACCTGAATACATAAAAAATTACCTGAAAAGATATGAATTTGCTTGAATTTTTTTGCATTTGTGGAATGTTTTAAACAATACTTGAATATTTAAGTCTCATATATATATATATCCAAAACTTTACCTGAATATTTATGACTATGTGAATATGTAAAACTTTTCATGAATACTTAAAGTTTAACTAAGCTGGACACAGTGTTTTCAAAAAGATCTAAAGATGTTCCATTAAACAGTAATTGCTTATTGTTGTTTTATAAACCCTGAATCAATATAATGAATGGACATCTTACAAGTGTTACATGTTTTTTTTACCCTCTTAATTAGATTGAGCTTGTTTAATTGGCTGTCACTACACAAGGTACCTTGACAAAACACCAGCTGTAAAACTTGTTTTACATTGGTGATCCAGTATAATTGATACTTGTTTTCATTACTTAGCTTTAGTTGCATTTCTTGCCAAATATTTATTAGATCTTTGACTATTGTCTTTAAATCTAACATAATTTTTTTTTGTAAAAGCATCATTTTCTCAACAGTGTAAGACATATGTCTGCTGGAGTTGTTTTCCTTGCAATGTATTCATGGTTGATAACCCAGTATGTCTTAAATTTTTAACCCTGTCAGAGTTCTTTCCCTTGGATTATTTTTGTTACATTTTGTAAGAAATAGCTAGATAACAGAGTGTAATATTTCACAATTACTGTCTAGCAGAAGAACAATTCTGGTAATTCCTGTTTTATTTCTGAGGTGTACTAGCTGGTAGCTAGGTTTAATTACAGTTGTGGGAAATTATACATTGATTAAAGAGAAATACTGTCTGAGTGTAGGCAGGCCATGAATAATGGAATAAGGAAGTAAGTTTTTACTTACTGTATAACTTAGATTAACTTTTAGATGCTTGTTTTTATTGTTGAATTAAGCCGCCTCTGCCACCAGTATAGAGCCAGGCCAGCCTGCACATAAGTTCTGTATTGTCTGACCAGGCTCTATACTGTTTGCCAGCATAATTATGTTATAAAAATCCCTTCAATCTGTGACAGACAAAACTTCAAGGAAGGACTGTCTATTATACATGCAGTGTTAATAAGTAATTTATGTAGTGATCCTGGAGGGATTTAGAAGTGCACAGACTGAGGAACTATTTTAGGATGAGGACAGTTTTATTAGATGGTCATATTAGCTTTAAAAAGTGAAAATAATCCAACTGGTTTATGGTCAGTTTTTTAGTCAATTAACTTTTTTTTTGAAGGATAATTACATGTATAAATTGACAGGCATTTTTTGTACTGGATATAATTATACTATGTATGTTTTTTCTTGGTTTAGAATGTTATTTTTTTTGTTTGTACTTTAGTATGTTGATGTTTTATGTATGAATTGACAAGACATCATCATGTAACTTAAAAACTGGAGGAATAAATTGTTTCCTGGGTTTTTATAGTTGTTATGATTCTGTAAGCATAGAACATAATCACGATGTAGTCATGGACACAAAAAAAAGAGTAAAATGTAGAAGTTTTTACAAATTAATTCTTGCGGATGTAAAGTCAATGATAATAAGGAGTTCTGTAGTGGTGATTTTGTTAGTATTTTTGTTATATGAGAAGATGTTGGAGAAAGTTTTAGATTATTGCTGTTCATGAGGGGATTAATTTTGTGTGTGTGTGGATATTAGAAGGAGTGTTATAAGATGCACGCAAGCACATGCAGACAACATGTGCTTGTGGTGATGGTAAATCAGGGAGAGCATAATGTGTAAGAGAATGTATTATATATATAACTCTACAATGCATTAAGTGAATTTACCAGATGTGAGTGAAATGTTTACTAAACACAGCCCAGTTTAGAATACTTCTTCTTTTCGTTCTATTCTTTCTTTTTGTACAGACTTAATTAATTGGAAAATTTGTGATTCAGTTTGGGAATAGAATATGTGTAGAATTTTAATGGCAAAATTTGTGAAGTAATTGAAAAAAAGTTATGTGGATTTTTTTTTTGATAACTTTAACATAACTGTGGACTAAAATATTGAAAGGAGTGTTGGGTCTGTCTTCACAAATATTAAAAAAAACTTACACTTATTCAGTACACATAAATGATTATGTTTCTTGTGTAAATTATAATGATTATATGCCATACAGTAAAGAAAGTGGATGAAAATGTGTGTAATGTAAACTAATTGTGTTAAAAGCAAGGTATTCTCTTAACTGACAATGTTAGATATACAGTAATTGGCATTAATTTGGTGAACAGGTGCTTTCTTTAGCTTTCTTTATTTCCCTCTTCCATGTGAAAACAATGTGTTTTTCCTTCATTATATGTAACAATTGCATAAATTGAATCTTCAAATGTTCAAAACATGTTATTTGTATTTGTTTGTTTTTTTATTTAAAATATATCATAATTTAAGCTTTGTTTTCATATGAAAATTCATTACCAAATTAACGAATATTTTTTCCCTGTGCAGGTAAATCGTCGTCAATTAAAAGAGCGGCCCCTCAACATGGACCCAAGGGAATTGCTTTTAGAAAGTATTCGCAAACCCCAGACGCTTAAGCCTGTCAAGCAAGGCAAGGTTGTAGGTATGTAACTATGTTTTAAGGACAGAGTTTTTATTCTTACGTTTTTCTTATAATGATATTACTTATAGTGTTAAAGTTATAATAACTTTTATTAATATTTCTTTACAGTAAGTTTAACTTACACAAAATATGAAATTTTGATTACAGACAGTGTATAAATTAAGAAAGGTTGTTTTTTAATAGTTACAGAAAATCAAAAATATTTTTTTTGAATAGCTACAGAAAAGCAAAAATAAACAGAGAAATTCACAAAGATTTCATATAATTCACAGAAAATACAGGAAATTCGAATATATATAAAATATATTATTTATGTCAAGAGGAAGGAAAAAACATTAACTATGAACTTTGACATGAATATAGATGAAAATTTTATTTTTAGTTCGTAAGCCAACATTAGACTGTGATACAAATTATTCCTCAGAGGAAGAGAGTCCAAAACAAGTGAGAAAAGTCATAAAACCAGTCGCAGCCTTTCAGGTAAACCATATAGATAACATTCTTAACTTCAAAGGTCTTTTCATGTCAATGTTAATCCATTTTAAATTTTTATTGGGTTGTTTTTGGTTCTGTTAAGTTGTTTTGTGAGAAATATGTTCAAATGCATCCCCAGATTTTGAGTTTCTATTACTGTTCTGTTAATAATCCTGTTGTTTAAATTAAAAATTTTAGGATTTTTGAAATATGTTTCCTAAGTTATATTGCTTTTTGTGTTTTAACATTGTGTATTGATTGATCCAAACAAAATTTTGCATGAAGATGATTTAAAAAAAAACAAAAAAAAACTGGAAGACCCGGAACACAGTATTTTTGTTTTCTTTTGTTGTGGCTTTAAAGAAATGCATAAATCTACTTACTTTATTACTAGAGATGCTTAAAATAAAATATTTTACTAATGTTAGGTGTCAAATGGGAGCAAGGAGGTGAGTTAATCACAGTAGAGGGTCAGCACATTAGACCTTTATCCCCCATTCTACTACTATCATTTTCATCTCCATTAAATGAGCCACGCCATGACAAAACCAACATAGTGGGTTTGCGATCAGCATGGATCCAGACCAGCCTGCGCATGCGAGCAGTCTGATCAGGATCCATGCTGTTCGCTATCAGTTTCTCTACTTGTTTTAGAGTTTGTAAGCAGCTGGGATCCTGATCAGACTGTGCCCTTGGCAGGCTGGTCTGTATCAGTGCTGGTCGCAAACGCACTGTGTGGGTTTTGTCGTGGCGCGGCTCAAATATATTGTCCATCTCATGCTATAATTATGTTATTTCAAATTTTGAGTCCCAATATTATTACTTCTTGCATAAAAAACTGTGCACACAGAGGTGTACATTAATAATGAAGAAAACAAGCATTGGTGGATAAAATCATGCAAGGACGCACCCTTGATACACATTTCAAGATTTGTATTGTCTCAGGGTGCTGTGTAAAATATCTGACTGCAATGATGACCCGAATTGTTTCATTATCAAAACATAGTTGTCATTTACAGTTTAATAAAGGGATACCTTTTTTTTGTATATAAGCTATTTATTAATGGTAGAAAATTGAAATTCTAGTTAGTAAGTAAGTTTTGACACAACTTTACTTGATAATTCAGGTATAGCATTTAAGAAAAACATTTTATGAAATAAAACTTGGTCTATTTGTTATCATTGTTGTTTGTTTTAGTTTTTTTTTCCAACATCAAATTTAAAGATTTTGAAAATTAATTTTTTTTTCTTATTTTTTAACTAATTTGAAAGCATATTTTCTCCTACATGAAAATGCTGCTGCATTCAATGTTTCAGTTTTTGTAGTTATGTCTTATTTTTTTACTGTATCAGTTTTTATACTCATTGCTAGCATTTTTAATTACATTTTCATTGTTTATTTAAATGCCTTGTGTGCTTTAAAAAGGTTTATCAATAAATCCCTATTTAAAAAAGAAGTTGCAACACACCTAGCTGAATGTCATGTGCATTTAAGTGTAAATTATTATAGAGTGCTAGGTGATGGTTGTTTAAAAAAATGTTAAAAGGAAAGAAAAAGAAATGCTTTAGTATGTTTGAAAGAAATGCTGTTGCATGTTCTCTGCATTCTCATAAACTTTAAACTTGGCCAATGCATTGCCTCTCATAATTGGTGTTTACTTTTGATATAAATCTACATTTTTTGGTGTTTGAATACCTATTGTCTTCAAGTTTTAGGACTTAAAAATAAAATAAATAAATAAAATAATGAAAAAAAAAAAGAAAAAAAAATTAAATTAATTTAATACTTTTTTGAGCACTAAGTCTTCCTGATTGATAGAATACAGAAAATCTAATGTTTGTTGCACACTTGATTGAAAATATTGTAAATTTTGCACTTTTAAAAATACTTTTATGCCCCCTAATTGATAGACCTGGAGGGCATTTATTTTTGGTCTATTTATTTTTGTTTGCTTGTCTTTCACAAAACTTTAACCTTGACCATAAACAGAAGTCCTTCACATACGGCCGCTGGATGATTTCACAAGTGAAAGCCCTTTGATAAGCTCTACCAATTAGACTCACCTAGAAGTCATGGGGTCAAGATTAAAAAGGTCAAGGTCTTTTTTTAGGGGCATGACCTTCAATTGAACTTAGCACTTGTTTTTAATGTGCCCTAATATTTACATGTAGAGAAGAATGATGTAAACAGTTGCCAATTTGTATTTCCAAACTTCTCTGTTCATCACACATATTTTTGTCATTTCTCATTTTGACTTCATCTTGCACACGTTCACCATTTGGTGTGAGGTTGATCAAGGGGTCAAGGTCACTTTGACTAAAAATGATATTTTTGCTACTGTTCTTCATAGAGAATTCATTCATAAATTTACCAGTACTTTGGATATTTAGAATGAAGTTATCTTACCGAGACTTTACTTGTACTTATTGACCCTTTAAAAAAATGGTTATTAACAAATATGTTATTAATACATTTTAGGGAGGTATTTCCCTGAAATGATACATTTTCATTGGTTTGGGTTTGAGGTCAAATGGCTCAAGGTCACTTAATAAGAAATTGATTTTTTTTTCTACCTGACAACTTTAAAAATGCTTGTCAAATCAGCACTTGGGATCATAGATCTACAATGATTTTTGTAAATGTTCCTTTTAAAAATATTGAATATTGTAATAAAACTTCTTTTTTCTCTCTTTCATTATCAAACTTCAAGCTATTATTTTAGATGAATATTTATTAGTTTTGATTATCCATTTCATTCATACACAATCATATATTTACCTCCTTTTTTCAAAAAAATTTATTGGACCTAATATAAAGTATAATTGTAAAGAACACTTTAATATTTAACAACATTGAACTCGTGTTTTAAAAACTTTTAAAATGGCAATCACCTACATTCTACCTCTATAATATTTCATTCTTCAACCAAATAATACAATACCTTCATTTAATCACTTTTACATCCAGACTTGTATTATCTATAATCATGTCATTTTAGATATTTTGTATTTTTTCTAGATGTGAATTATATCCTGTGTATAATAGAGATATATAAGTTATAAAGAAAAAACTATAGTACATTATATCTATTTCCATGCCTTAGAATGTAGTATTTTCCTATGATAAATGTTACAAAAAAATGTGAATTCTTTCCCTTTGGGATGTTATGGGAAGGGATGCCTTGAGAGGCCAGGCAGGGGTTGGGTGTGATGGGAAGGGATGCATTAAGAGGCCGGGCGGGGTGGGGGTGTGATGAGGAGGGATGCACTGGGAGGCCGGGCTGGGATTGGGCTTTGATGGGGGTAGGTTGTCTGGACCAATAGGAGGGGGAAACACAGTGCGCCAATAAGCTAAAGGAGATTTTATTTTCTACTTTGTATAATGTAAACTTTTTATTGTCTTTTACTTGATCTAATTTCTCTCAAAGACATGTATTTTGCTGAAACATTTTATTGGAATTTTTTCTCATTTCCTTTGTGTTTTTGATGTATATTTTGGAATGTGGTAGAATTATTGAGTGCCCTGGGTGAGATACCGGCTTTAATTGAATTGATTAAGGCCATGCATGACAGGAGAGGATAATTATGCCACCGCAGCATCTGCGATGCGGTGGCATATAGCGATTCACCTGTGTGTGTGTGCGTGTGTTTGTGTGTGTGTTTGTGTGTGTGTTTGTGTGTGTGTTATATAGATTATATAGTGAACTTAAAAAATCTTCTTGTGAAAAACCACTAGTCCAATTTCAACAAAACTTGGCAGGATTGTTCCTTGGGTGAAGGGCTTCCAAAGTTGTTCAAAGAATTTCATTCCATACAGAAATCTGGTTGCCATGGCAACCAAAAGGAATTATAAGAATAAATTTAAAAAATCTTCTTGTAAAGACCCAATAGGCCTAGAGCTTAGATACTTTGCATAAGACATTGTCTGGTAGACCTTTACCAAGATTGTTCAAATTAAAGCCCTTGGATCAAAATCGGCCCCGCCCCAGGGTCATTGATTTTCACCAGATGTACATATAGCAAATATATGTATATAGTAAAAACTTATAGTAAAAACTTCAAAAAAATTCTACTAGCAATTGACAAATGCTAGAGGTTAGATATTTTGCATGAAACATTGTGTAGTAAACCTCTAGCAAGATTGTTCAAATTATAGCCCTGGGGTCAAAATTGCCCCCGCCCTGGGGGTCATTGATTATAATAAAAAATAAAAAAATCTTATTGTCTGAAGGTACAAGGCTTAGAGCTTTAATATTTGTTAAATAATATCATCTAAAGGTCCTCTACAAAAGTTATTCAAATGTTGCCTTTTGTGTCAAAATTAGCCCCGCCCCCGGGGCCATAGGTTTTCCTTATACATGTATGTATATAGTAAAAACTTTAAAAAATCATCTTCTCTAAATTTACAAAGGCTAGAGTTAAGATTTTTTGCATGAAACATTGTGTAGTGAACCTCTTGCAAGATTGTTCAAATTATAGCCCTGGGGTCAAAATTGGTTCCGCCCCGGGGTCATTGATTTTCATTATGTACATATAGTGAAAAAATAAAAAAATATTTTTGTCTGAAGGTACAAGGCATAGAGCTTTGATGTTTGATATGTAATATCATTTATAGGTCCTCTACCAAAGTTGTTCAAATTTTTCCCCTGGTGTCAAAATTGGCCCTGCCCGGGGGCAGTGATTGTCATTATGTACACATAGTAAAAACGGAAAATAAAACAAATGTTTTCTGAATGGGAGAAAGCTATAGCTTAGATATTTGACTTGACCTGTATCAAAATTGTTTTGAATTAAACCCTTGGGTCAAAATTATGCCTTGCCCAAGGGGACAGTGACCTACTTTCTTGTCCTTTGATGTACAGCAATGACATTTTGACCATGTGCACAGTTTTAGTTGTAAAATTGAACTATGATATCAGGTGACCTAGATTTTGATGATGTGACCTACTTTCTTGTCCTTTGATGTACAGCTATGAAATTTGAAGCATGCGGTGGCATAGCATTTTTCTCAAATGCAATCTTGTTTTTAAGCATGCTTTTATTTTGCTTTGATATTTTTTATGAGTTTATTACAGAATGTTGTATATTGTTTCAAAAAGTTTATTATTTATTATTTTAGTGAAGTCTTTTTTGATTGACATAATTTGTATACTTCTATATATTGTACTTTTATTAGTGGTTATTTTATAAAGTTATATGAATTTTTGTTTGAATTATTTTGATGAGCATTTCGTGACAATTTTTCAGGTTTCAACTGATGATTCTGACTCGTACTTCTCCGATCCAGATGATGATTATCGTAACCATATCAACGCCCCTGTGATGTCACCCCTGGAACCTATTTACCCGGATGCTGATGATGTTACTTGGAAACGTGCCGGTAAACAGATGCCTAAATTATACTGATATATTTTACAATTTTGATAAATGGCATCTATTTTGTATATATGTTTTTAATTGTGATTGAAGTTTTGAAAAAAAGATTTGTGTCCTGTTAAATTAACTTTGAATTATTTCTTATAAGGAATATGTTGTAGTTAGCATGTTAGAATAATTATGGTAGCTTAATTGGATGGGTGAAACTATAATGCGTGAACATTTATCTCTACCATGTAGGATGGAAAGTACCCTTATACCTGTTACAATGTCAGTAATTAAAACCCTACAAGACTTCCCAGTTCCATCATTTAAACTTTATTGTTTACATAAATCAAACATTCATTAATCCATTATGTTTTTTGTTTGTTTTTTTTTCAGTTGCAAAAGATCTTGTTAGACAACCTTCTAATAACTGTAGCTCTGTAACAAGACGTCATACAATAAGTGCCTGTGATATAAAAAGTGGGAAAAAGGTACCTTCCCAGCATGCCCCTCTTCCTGAAGAGGAAGCAGACGATGTTGTGCATGGTGGATATTTTAATCGTACTCATGCTGCAAGAAAAGCTACGAAAATTGTATCATATCGTAAAAAGCACCACAATGTACAGCATGCTATTAGTGATAATCCACAAACATTCGCTGCACAGAACGGTGTTCCTGATAGGTCGAAATCCCCGCTTAGGCATGTCAGTCAATGTGTATTGTCAAAATCGCATGGAAATATTGTTGACAATGTATTTTCAGTTCATAATAATGTGCATGATATGTCGTCTAGTGATACTTCTCGTTTATCCCGTTCTGCCAGTGTAGCCTCTATTTCAGAACCTCAAAGGTGTAAGTCTCCCAGTCGCCATATTGGACGCTCTCAGTCACCCAGAATGCATGCTGGTAGACCTGAATCGCCTGTTCGGCATTTATCACGTTCAGAAACATTTACTTGTAGTGTCCCTCGTAAATCGCGTGTTTGTATGCGTAGTGAAACCCATATAGCAACCCGCTGTGACTCTCCCCAGACTCGTGCTATGAGACATTCTGATAGTTTTCCGCCTCCAAGATCGGAAAGCCCAAATCATTCTTGTAGAGCAGAATCTCCTAGAAGACATTCTGTTCATATGGTGCATAATTCAAATGACAATGCATGTGAAAGTCAAGATAAAAGTGACAGGTCCCGTAGACATTCTTTTCAGCATGCGCATGGTTTTGTTTCTCATACTTCTCGTAATATGCCAAATTCTCGTTCAGTTCAGAGGAATACAAGTCTTACAAGTGCATGTGTATCAAAATCTAAGCATGAATCATCAAAAGAAGCATGGTCAGAAAATCACCGTCATGGTAACAGGTCCAGTTCACAGTTACCGAGTCGAGACCTACCACAGACCAGTATTGATAATATTAATTCGAAGCTTAATAGAAATTCTTTGTCAAAATCTGAAAATAATGAATCTTTACATGACAGTAAAACTTCTTATCCACAGGATGGAGTTACTGATGAAAAAACTGATAATGTGACACTTCGAAGGTCAAGGACAGCAATTGTAAGAGCAAGGTCGCGACCCGATGTTCGGTCAAAAGATATCAAAGATGAAGAGGAGAAACATTTCAAGTTAATTGAAAGTCTTGCTTTAAAAACAGGTCGAACGGATGATAGTAATAGAGCAAGACCTGCCAGTGAAATTGAATCAAACGGTAAAACTAGGTCACAGGTTGCCAGAGCAAGAAGCTGTGTTGATAGGTCTATGGTATCAAGATCTATTGACAGTAGAATTCCAGTAAGATCTGAAAAAACGGCCTCTGGCTTTACAAGAAAAGATTCGTCTGAGGCTGAAAATGGTGAAAGTGAGACCCAATCAAAGCCTAAAAGAGCTGTTAGACTGTCCCGTCAATCTGCAATAAGGACTGAAGGTTCAGAAATAAGATCAAAATTACAGAATAAAACTGCTGGAGAAAAAGCAAGTGAAAAATCTGAGGTGGAACCTGCCAAGCAATCAGAATCTTTACCACGAGAATCAAGAACTAGACGAGTTGGTATCGTTGCCAATGAAAACAATGTGACTGATAAAAATAATTCTTCTTCAGCAGACGAAAGTGTTAATAAACAGGAAGTGACATCATTTGAAAGGGAGAATACATCTCGACGACGTGAATTCAGACAAGTGATAAATAGACCAATTTTAAGGTCAAGGTCAGAAGTTAGACCGGAAATGAGGCCTGTAAAAGGTTCTCATAATTTACCTGTAGATTTTGAGCATAATAACCTTGATCATTTAGATGATAAGCACGTTATTGTACCCCCGCCAGAGTTTAGGGACCCAGATGATAACATTACGCCAACAAATGAAACAAATTCGCTCAGTTTCGATAATGAAAGTGTTCCAGATGTGATTAAGACAAGTCGTGCAGAGTTTAAAGTGGTAGATTTACTGCATGTAAGTTGGAAAACAGAATGCCCTCGCCAGGATCCTACTAACAACTCTAACCCTTGCTCTGATTGCAGGCCCTTTCCCTCAGTGAGTACCTTTATAACCACTCCTCTATTTTTAGGGGCCCATCATCTGATTCAATACTATTTTAAAGGTACAAAAATTGCCTCCAGATGAGTACTCAAAAAATAAAAATAAAACTGGAGATAAGTGTTCTAAGATATTAAGAAAAGTAAAATGATTCAAGATTCCAGTAATAAATTACATGTTATATGCTATTAATGACTGATTTGCAGTATTTATCAACATATTTCTACAGTGTGACTAATGTAGTAAGGGTTATTTCTACATATTTTTGACGTCTTTTTGGTAATTTACAAGGATTGTAAGATGCATTTGCAATTTAAAAATTAATTTCTTTATTTGCTTGAAATTTTTTTACTGTTGATACATTTTCAACAATTTCAAGAAAATTTACATGAATCTGGAGGCATGCTATTTTAAACATATTCTGGTGCAACAGTCCTGTATCATAGTTTGCCACATTAATATTTTGATAGGAATCAGGAGATGTGCCCCTTATTAACACTTCTGCCAATCAACAAACCTATTATTGAAGTTTTAAAATCATTTGATATTTCATTTGTTAGGTCAATCTTGCTGTATCTGTATTGTATTTTAAAATTTTGAAAGTTTGGCAAAAATCAAATTTAGACTGACTTCTTATTTTTAAAATTTTGTTAATTGGCAGAAGGCAAAATTAAATTTACTTCTAATTTCCTCTAATTTTTGATATAGCTTTGTGTTTGTACCAATGGATTAAAAGTTAATAATGTTTGGTAGCAAAGGCTTAAGGTAGTTTTACTGCAATGCTTTCCCACCAAAAATTTCCAAAATCGGCCCATATTGTAATAAATCAGTCATTTCCGGAATGTTATTTTTCACAATCTTTGGTATTTTGTAATTTTTAACCGTTTATAACCGGAATATAGTGCATAGCATTAAAAGATGAGTGATTGTAAATAATCTTGTGCCCAAGATTATGAAAAAAAATAACGTCCAGAAATAACCGATTTGCTCTGATATTTGCCGATGTTAGAATTTTTTGGCGGGAAAGTATTACAGACTACCTTTAAATATATAAAAATGTACTTATCGCATACCTTTTTAAATCTGCATATGCAAATGTGTTATTTCACATTAAATGTATTACTACATAACTATTTTTCATGATCCTGATCAAAAAAGACTAATTATGCATTTATAACTTTGTTTAACGTAGATCAAACCAATCTGTTTGTTAATAATACGTTTCTGGGTGTATGTTAAATACAATAACATTTTCTTGTATATTACATATTTCATGAAGAATTTCATGTTGGTATAATAAGCAATTCATGTTGGTACAATAAGCAATTTTATGGTGGTATTTTTAACTATTTTATATACTTTGTGTTGGTATTTTGAGTGTTTGACGCAATTTTGTGATGCTGTTCTTTTGGTTCAGTTTAGATATTGAAAATATGAATAGAGTTAACCTATATAACTCTATGTTCCTGTGGTTTCTAAGAAAACAAGTTGTTATATAAATAGTTTGTATAAACTACATTTACTTATTCTTTCATTTATGTGAACACTTTTAATTGCATTTCCTTTCTATATTCAAAACTGTTCTTCTAAACTGGTGCTCTGTTAATCAATTACGGTAATTAAATACCTTTTCCTTCAGTGTGGTGTAGGTTATTTTTCCTTTCTCATTCTTTTCCATCTGTCTGTTAGCTATGTGTCAACAGTTCAAGGTAGTCATTCATTTAACAATTATCGCTTAGCGTATGGTATTGAATTTTAATTCTTATTAAACAAGAAAGTCTTCTTTATAGATTTTTAGCTCACCTGACCACGAGGTGGTCAAGGATGTGGTATAGTGATGGCCGATGGGGCTATGTCCGGCGTGCGACATCGTCCGTCGTTCGTCGTCAACAATTGGGTTGTTAACAGTCTAGCAGTCACAGTTTTGATTGGATCATTGTCAAACTTTGTCAGAATGTTTGTCTCAATGAAAAACAGATCGAGTTCGAAGATAAGTTATTTCCGGTCGAAAACTAGGTCACAGGAGCTAAAAATAGAAAAAGCTTGTTAACACTCTAGTGGCTGCAGTTTTGATTCAAATATTCTGGAAATTTGTCAGGAAGGTTGTTTTGATGATTTCTAGGTCAAGTTCGAAGATGGGTCATCTCCGGTCAAAAACTAGGTCACAGGAGCTAAAAATAGAAAAAGCTTGTTAACATTCTAGTGGCTGCAGTTTTGATCCAATTATTCTGGAAATTTGTCAGGAAGATGGTTTTGATAATTTCTAGGTCAAGTTCGTAGATGGGTTATCTCCCGTCAAAAACTAGGTCACAGGAGCTAAAAATAGAAAAAGCTTGTTAACACTCTAGTGGCTGCAGTTTTGATCCAAATATTCTGGAAATTTGTCGGGAAGGTTGTTTTGATGATTTCTAGGTCAAGTTCAAAGATGGGTCATATCCTGCCAAAATCTAGGTCACAGGAGCTAAAAATAGAAAAAGCTTGTTAATACTCTAGTGGCAGCAGTTTTGATACAAATATTCTGGAAATATGTCAGGAAGGTTGTTTTGATGATTTCTATGTCAAGTTCGAAGATGAGTCATCTCCAGTCAAAAACTAGGTCACAGGAGCTAAAAATAGAAAAAGCTTGTTAACACTCTAGTGGCTGCAGTTTTGATCCAATTATTCTGGAAATTTGTCAGGAAGGTTGTTTTGATGATTTCTAGGTCAAGTTCGAAGATGGGTCATATCCAGTCAAAAACTAGGTCACAGGAGCTAAAAATAGAAAAAGCTTGTTAACACTCTAGTGGCTGGAGTTTTGATCTAAATATTCTGGAAATTTGTCAGGAAGGTTGTTTTGATGATTTTTAGGTCAAGTTTGAAGATGGGTCATCTCTGGTCAAAAACTAGGTCACAGAAGCTAAAAATAGAAAAATCTTTTTTCACTCTAGTGGCTGCAGTTTTGATCCAAATATCCTTGAAATTTCAATTATTTGTCAGGAAGGTTTTTTTGATGATTTCTTGGTCAAGTTTTAATATGGGTCGTCTCCAGTCAAAAATTAGGTCACATTGACCAAATATGGAAAACCCTTTAAAACACTAGAGGTCACATTTTTTACTCAATTGTCATCAAACTTGGCCAGGATGCTTGTCTAAGACATTGGTTGGATGCGGTTGATGGGTCAGGGGAGCGATCCAGGGCCATCATGGCCCTCTTGTTTAAATTAATTACTTCAGTTTGATTATTCTTAGATTATTCTGGGTTTTGTTTATTTGAGCTTTGACATTTTTCATAAGTTTTACTTAGGTTTAAAATAATATACCAAGTGATATTATGTCTGTTTGATTTATTGTTTTGTCATTTCTTGAAAAATAGAGTACTTGATTGAAATATGTAGAGTTCTTGTAACAAGTTCTTCAATTTTACCCAGCATAAATGGCAGAATCCTATAGAATGTTTGTCACTGACGCTAGAGGAAGTGACCCATATCAGATGTGTGCTGACAAAAGCTGAACTCGAAAGTTTGATCACCAATCAAGACCTGTACCATCAAGTCAGCAAGGGAAAGGTATGTAGAAAAATTAATTAACAGTCGCTTACGATGTCCTTAAAAAAATGGCAGAAAGGTCTTATTACTATAAGACGTAAATTTACTATGGCGTAAATTTAGTTCAGTACTGATAAAGGTTTGTACTCAATTTGACGAAAAATTCAGGTGACCTTTTGATAAATTAAATTTAAATTTCTTTGAAAACTCTGGAATTTAGGTAATATTTTGCTAAAATATTTTTTGAAAAGTATATATATTCTTTCAATATTTTCTAGGAAGTAGATAAAATAAAATGAGGTGAAGATGATGAAGAAAAAGTTGTTGCCCAGAACAAACTAATGATACATTTTCTGAATGATATTGACCAAAAAGTGTTTATGTAACTTATAATTACCTTTGACAAAAAATAAGGTTTAATATAATAAATATATTTTATCACTTGATAAAATCACTGTCCCCCAGATGCGCATCATTATATCACTCGGGCTAAGCCCTTGTCATATGATTCCTCGCGTTTGAACTCCAAACAGTGATTTTATTTAGCTATTAAATCAATGTTTGTGATATACATTGTATTATTTTTTAATTAAAAAATACGGAATTTGGAGGCATAATGTGCCTTTTTAGTTTTAGCTTTCTGATGGCATCTATACATCTTCTAATGTGACCTGTGCAGACCCAGATCAGTTGGCATATCTTGTCACCTTAGTGCAATAACTGGTTAACTCCTATTAAATTTAGAAGGACTTAACCCGTTACTGCACTACTGATGATTATTCTATGCTATCTGATCTTGTTATGCACTGTTCACAGTTCAATCACTACAGTCATGTCTTGAAATTATACACTTATATTGATCAATGATTTTGATCACATTGACACATGTAAAATATTGTATATAATATATAAGTATATAATTCATATAAGTATAAAATCAAGGTGTAGAGTATACTTTCTTGTAGGTTTGTTTTACGTGTAAGAAGACCAAGTTTTCCTTATTTGGCCAGTGGGGAACAAAGTGCAAATTCTGTCAAAGAACTGTCTGCAATTACTGTCTCAGAAAAGTAAGTTATAAAGTTATCATACTATGAAAGGTGTTTCTAACACACTTCGCACTATTACCCTATCAAACACTGGTAGGGTAATCAGGTGATATATTACATGATATAATTGTTCACAGCATAAAAAATGAATGCTTACACATCATATGACGTCATATAATTAATTATCCCCCGCTAATGGAATCGGGAGGGGGATATAGTTTTGGCGTTGTCCGTCCGTGCATCCGTCCGACTGAATTTCATTTCCGGACTACTTCTCTGCGACTACTGGCTGGAATTCAAGGAAACTTTATGGGAACCTTTAATATCAAGAGGGGAATGGAATATAGTCGGCTTGTTCCGGTCCGACACTTTAACTCAGAGTTATGGCCCTCGATTAGTTATGTAGTATGCATATAGAGTAAAAATCGTTTCCACGCTACTTCTCTGCAACTACTGGCTGGAATTCAACAAAACTTTATGGGAGCCTTCAATACCAAGAGGAGATGCGCATATCGTCACCTTGTTCCGGTCAGACACTTATGACTCAGATTTATGGCCCTTGATTAGTTATGCAGTATGCATACATCTCATTGGCATTTCCATTATTACTATTTAACACAGAGTTATGGCTCTGTTATTGCCCTGAATATTTATCAAGTTCAAAGAATATTACTGTTTATGCCATGATAAATATATAAATAAAGCCTTATGTCTTCAGTTGTTGTGTTAGTAATAACCAGTACTCGGCGGGGGATATAAATTCAACGTGCTTGTTACCTTTGTTTTCGATTGTTTATTGAACTATAAGTTTATAGACAAAGTGGTCAAGTTCGTTGACTTCAAACTGCTTGCCCCTCACCACTGTGGGTTCAAATCCCAAAAGAACTTTTAAGATTCTTTTATGTGAAGACACTATCCAGCTATCTTATAGAACGTCAATGCTTCTACCCAGGTGCTTGTTTGTGCACCAATTGAGGTCTTCATGCACCAATAAAACTGGAAAGTCCCCGTATGATCTATACTGTGTTGGTGTGACATAAAACTCAACCAAAGTCAAAGAAAATTTTGTAATGATTTTTATAGGTGTTACACAACTATCGTTGAATCTTGCAAAATGTTTGAAATTCTATTTGTTAAGTTGTGAGAAAATGTTTATAGATATATTTTATATACTTAGATGAGTGTCCCAACTGAGCATTTTGAGAAGATTCCAGTGTATACACTCAGTCCCGTCCCCCTTAGTCCAGAAGTGCTAGAGGCCCTCAAAGTATATGAAAGGTAAATATAGCTTTTATAATTGGTTTTTGAATATATCTTATTTACCAAAGCCTCCTTTTTCATTTAGTTTTCCCCAAGAAAATTTCAGCTGGTTTTAGTATTTAAGTATACACTTTTATAGATTTAATGTTTACGCACTGTTTGGCTATTGAAATCACAGGAGTGCCTAAATGTACTAAACGAAATTAAAGAAAACTATGGTCTTAACTCAGATAGTTGTTGAATTACATGGGTCTTCATGGCCTTAGCAGAAAAATGAAGATTTAGTTGCATTTTTGCATCTTACATGTGACACATAACAAGTATATGGATTGAGAATACTCGTACAAACACATTTTGTTACATACATGTACCTGTGCTGCTTTTGCATAGCCGTGCATATATTTTGAAGTGTTGTCATTTGCGATATATAAACATATTGTATAGATGGGCTATTTCATATGGTTACACTATAAGTGCATCAATGGAAACATGATTCTTTTTATAAATTTAAGGTCATTTTAGGTATGTGATAAATAGTTTAGTTTTTATTCTAAATTTATTGAACTTGTTGAATAAAGTAATATTATGCTCACCAAAGACTCACATAATACAATGTTATTCCAATCGTTCAATAAATTCAGTATTGAACATATGGTCATTTTATATCCTTAATTGTCTGAAATTTGAAATTCTGAAACTTTGTTTACTCATTCAAAATCATAAAGTTTTAAGTTTACTATTCGTTAATGTATAAATATGTATCAATCATTTGTTAATCAGTTTTGATTGATCATCATTCAACAAAATTTGTTTCTGTATTACAGCACAGGTTCAGTGCCTCATAGTCCTGTAACGTCTAGAAAAACAACAGAGGTAGACAACAGTAAAACACCAGATGAACCAGAAACACCAGTACCAGATGAGAATAAAACTGCCAATAGGAGAAAGTCTCTACAGCGATCACATACCATAGGTGTTGGTGTCGGGTCAAGGCCGCCACCAAATAAGGCTCTGTTGAAAGGTACTGCATTTTGTGTCTTTTTTGTATGGTTTAAATATATTTAATCTTTGAAAAATTTAGGGCTTTGTATGTTTGTTTATGATTTTGTCTTACTTCAGGGTAATTTGAAGTTGAAAGATGTATTAATTAACTTAAGTGCTTCTGGCATATTCAAATTTCAATGTATTTTAAACTACATAACTAAAGCTAAGCTTTTTTTGAATGTTACACCATCCTCTTAACATAGCATGCGTTGACTATGTAATTTATCAAGTAAGTGCAGTAATATGGTAATTCCTATTGAATTTGATCGGAGTTAACTTGTTACTGCTTGTTAATCTAATTGCTCTACAGGGGGCCAGGTTTTAGGGGTTAAACTGTAATAAAATTGAATTGAAATCTAATGGTACAAATGTTAAGTTTTATCAAGCATACTATGCCTTGTTAAGCTATGAAAAAAGTTAAAATAAAAGTTTCATTCAATTCTTTATAGCAATATGATCAGCATGTGATGGAATTTTATTTTCTATTTCTTTTACAGGACCACAGATGAGCATATGTTGTGATTGTAAAACCATGATTATGGAAATAATTCGAGCCAGTAGATCTTCTGTATCCCTTATAACAGGCAAGCAGGAGGGTCAAGACGGGGAGAAAAATAAAGACTCTATGACCCCTAGAGGTCAAATTTCAGCAAGGTCATCAGTAGTAATGAGACCTAGACATTTACATCTGGAAGAAAGACCGAGGCCAAGATCGATGCTAGATAATTTTAAATCTTTCAACTTTTCAAAAACAAGTACTGATGCATAACGCAGATATATTTATTCACCATGTTACATTATCCTGACATTTTGTTTTGCAATTTACATTGTTAACATTTCATCTCCAAAGTTTTAAAATAATGAAATTTGGTAGATTTACGGTGAAGATTTTGTATCTAATGTAATTGGTAATATTACCATTATTTTGTTTAATATCTTTTTTACATTGATTAATAGAATACTTTTTAGTCATCCAGTATAACATAACTGGTTTATAAACAATGCATCTATTATTATGTTGAAGTAATTTGGAAAAAGATATCAGTTTTGAGTGTGTTATTGTAAATTAATGCACAGAAAGAGTTCAAATGGGCAGGAATATAATCACAAAGGCCAATAGGCCCTAGTTGTTGTTTTTCATGCTCAACTATTTATGTTCTTGCATCAGCATAATTTTTTTTTCGACTGAAGTTTTTGGTTAAAGTTTGCGTGCAATAACATTTTAGGCTATATCTCAATAAATCTTGTGTTATTTTTATTATAACTTAACACACATAGACTTACAGACAGAAAGTCCTATTACATATAGTTAGAATCTGCAATCATGGAATCTCTGGAAAAATCTGGCCAATTTTGCTAAGGATTCTATCTCTACGATAAATGATAGGTATTTAGAATATTTTGTTTGTTAGTCACTGACAAGTACCATAACTCTAGCACCTTTTGCTTTTTTTATGTTAAGGCTACATTATTGCAATATGAACACACTATTTACACACACTGCATTTGATCAAAATTTGGGTTGTGCATTTTCTATTTATTTATATTTTTTCTCTATCTTTACATGTTATAAAATAGATAACTTACATTTTACTATTTTATTAATTTCATTTTGCAAATGGTTAATAATTCTTATCAAGTGTTATAGACTTTTAACCACTTTCTTGTATATATCCTGATGAGTGTGTAATTTGACTTATGGGGTTATGAGATTGGAATTGCTTTATTCTGGGGACAATGGCTGACCTTTATTTTTTTCCCTATATGTTTCTCACTAGAACAAACATATCCCATATAACGCACTGAAAAATTGAAATTAAGTCAAGCTTTTATGATCACTAGGGCGTCGTTGTTGTTATGCAAACAATTTAAGGTAGCCCATTATTCAAACATTTTAAAGGTTATCAAGTTTGACTATGAAACTCGGAATACTTTCTTTATATCATAACAAGGTGCAGTTGTTAGACAAGTGGCATAATTCTGAAAGTAATTTAATTAGAGTTATGCCCTATTTTAACTTTTTAACAGACGAGTGTCATCACGTCATGCATTGCTCTTGTTAAACATATTGTTGACTAAGTATTTTGAACACATAATTTATACACATTGCATCTGATCAAAATTTGGGCTGTGTATTTTCTTATTTTTAGCTCGACTTTTCTATGAAAAGGGGAGCTATCCTACTCGCCCCGGCGTCGGCGTCGGCGTCGGCGTTGGCGTCACACCTTGGTTAAGTTTTTCGTACCACCCCACTTTATTTCAGAAGTATTACAAGTATGGCTTTGAAACTTACCATACTTGTTCACCATCATAACCTCCATCTACAGACAAGAGTACATAACTCTGTCAAGGTTTTTGACAGAATTATGGCCCTTTTTTGACTTAGAAAGTGTATTGAGCTTGGTTAAGTTTTTTGTACCACCTCACTTTATTTCAAAACCATTGGAGGTATTGCTTTGAAACTGACCATACTTGTTTACCATCACGACCTTCATCAACAGACAAGAGGACATAACTCTGTCAAGGTTTTTGACAGAATTATGCCCCTTTTTGACTTAGAAAATACATTGAATATGGGTAAAATCCACTTATTGCCTTAACCCTTTGAGATATTGCTTTGAAACTTTTAATGCTATTTCACATCATTACCCCCATCTGTACGCAAGAGAAGGTAACTCTGTCAAGGATTTGTTTTAAAAATTAAGGCCTTTTATCGACTTAGAATCTTGGTTAAGTTTTTAGTACCAGTCCACTTTTTGACTGAACTGTTTGAGATATTAATTTGAAAGTTGGAATACTTGTTTACAATCATGATTCCCAAACATGTCCAGGAGAAGGTAATTCTGTCAAAGATTTTATTTGAATTATGGCCCTTAACTGTCAATGTTTTGTATTATAGGCAAGCACTAAAAAACTTAAAAAATCTAAAAAAATTCATTCCTATCCACTTGTTCACTTTACCATAAATTATGTCATAATAAAATAATTCTTCACTAAATATCTTAATGCTCATGGCCATTGTTCACTTTAAAAATACAGAGATTCTTGTATTGCCTTTTACTGCAAAAACTTTTTTTATTGGCAAGCAATAAAAAAGTCGAGCGCGCTGTCTTACGGACAGCTCTTGTTCTTAAGTGTAGTTTAAAATGCTTAAATTATATTGTTTACCAATAATCTTTCAATATTGCAATTTAAACACCTAATTTATAAACGCTGGAAATTGGATTGTCATATGTACATATAGAAGCATTCATCCCACATCATTATATATAGACTATATACTACTGGTTGCTGTATCTAAGTATTTTGATATTGCCTGTACTATCCCTAATAATCAATTATGAACAGGTATTCCATATCTAAACCATGACAAGTCGTATACACAATTTCATCACGGTTAAATTACAATGCTAAAATTACATTGTTTAGCAGTAATCACACACTCAGAGGCACTTATAACCCGACACTTACATTTTTCTGTATAATTTGTTTATTTGGGAACTGATTTTGTTCAACTTTGGGCCATACAAAAGTCAACATATCTTACTTACTGCTTAGAATTTAATTTACAATTCATTGACAAGAAAATAGAGAAAATAACAAAACAAATATGCTTCTGCAAAATAAAAAATAACAGAATGGCTGTAAATTTTGTAACAAAATTCAAAGTCTCTGAATCCCACCAAATCTTATGTTAACCAGTTCTAATACTTTGTGTGTCCTCCCATGGCTATAACAACGTGTAACCACCTGTCTCATGGTTATAACGTAGTTTCTCATGAAAGCTTGGGGAATATTTGTCCATTCTTGAACAAGGGCTTCCTCAAGTTCCAGCAACTCCTGCATACCAAGGCACCAGGTCTAAATATCACAATTGTCAGCTGAATTGAACAGGCGTGTGAGAAAGCGACCAGAAGCCCCTTACAATTGTTTGAACTTGAGCAAGCCCTTGTTTAGGAATAGAGAACTGTGGGGCAAAGGTGTTTACGTTGTTATAGCCAATTGGGTGGACACACAAAGTGTTTAACTGTTGAACATACAGATTTAGTAGGATTAACAGACTTTTCATTTTGTAACGACTTTTACAGTCATTCTGTGATTTTTCATTTTACAGTAGCCTACTTGTTTTCTTGCTTTTTTTTTCTAAATTTTACTCATACGATGAAATAAATGTAATTTGGGATAATGCTTATGTAATGAAGTATGAAATATTATTCAATTTTTTTTGGTACAAATTTGAACAAATCACTTAATCCACAAATAACCCTTTTTTTCAACAAGATAACAATTAAAGTGGTACCGTGGTTATCAAGTTCCACGATTTGTACATTTTGAAAGTATACGTAACTATAATGGAATCATTGACATGAATATTCAACATTATAATTTTACATTATTGAATGTTTATCAATTTCTAACTTATAAGTGGCTACATCATTGAATGTATATCACAGTTCGAACTTATATAATTTGCTACATTATTGAATGTATACGGCAGTTTGAACTTATAATTGGTTACATCATTTAATGTATATGATAGTTTGAAATAACAAATGGCTACATCATTGAAAGTTACAAGATGAAGTAATGTAACAAGGGGTTTTAACAGGTGTTTCAGTTCAGACCAACGCTATTGTACATAAACATTTTATTGTATATATACTTCATTCAAAAATATAAATTGTAAATAGAAACATATTTTGTGAATATGTACAGGTCTACGTACGTGACTGTTGTGTACATAGGAAGAGTTTATTGCTTATGTTAATATATGTAGTATATATATAAACATGTATATATATATATATATACTTCTAGCTATTTTAGACGAGGTTATAACGGATAAGAATTATTTATTGTATGAATGAGATAATTTCTTCTGAATTCCAGTTTCTTAAAGATATTTAATAATACATGTATAATTCATGCATTATGTACGAGATATAATTGTTATGTTATTTTTCCGTCTGTGGATATTTCACACAAAAGTGGTATTGCATGAAATGTGATGTAAAGAAATGGACTGGTTATTTTTCCGTCTGTTTATATTTTACACAAAGACAAAAATGTATTAAAATGTGATGTAGAGATATGGAAAATTAAAAAGCAGAATACAGACTGATTAGTTTTAATTTCGCCAGACATATGATAACTTGTTTATTCATCTGTATATTATGGTGGCTGATTTGTTACACTTCTGCACGTTGTGTTGTCACTAGTGACAACACAACAAATATCGTTATTGCCTTATCAACTTGTCGCCGCGAAAGTGCCAAACTGCGCGTTATCATGTGATGCTTTGTCGCTTGTCTTATATCGAAGAGTTAACTTCTTATAGTGCTGTCACATGGCTCATTTTTGCAAGCATCAAAGTGCTAATAAGAGCAAATTCTTTCATTTGAGTCAATCGACAATGTGTCATCTCGAAAACACACGGCAAGACAACGCACCGTTTGACGTATTTCGCTAGCGACAGGACGACAAAGCGAGGTGCAAAAGTATAGCAAATCATCCACATATATGTAGAAATGAACTACATTCTGTTCTAGGAGTTAATGTGTACAAAACAATGATATAAAACAAACATTTAAATAAGGAAACATTTAAACTATACCCTGACCTACATAAAATTTTAATGCTTGCCTGCCTTATGATTTTTTTTATGGATTTGATGCTTAAAATACAAATTGCATTGATGTTTACTGCTTGACAATTTTAACTTTGGGTGATTGGGTGGATAAAATATCTAAATTATTGAATTCATTGTCATAAGCTTATACTTTACATTCAATTGTTAAATGCCTGGCCTAGCTATTCTCTTTGACAGAAGGTGTTCAAGTTTTTTTTTGCAAAATTTAACATGGTTGTATATTTAAAAGATACAAACTTTGCAAGGTAGTATACATTGTGTAGATCAAATTTCTAGAACTGCCATGCCATTGGCAGTTCTAGAATGGTTCAACATCTCATAATGTTATTATCTTGTAATTCTACCTGCTTGTAACATCGATTTTCATTGGATAACCATGACATTTATATTATCTATATTTCTGACTTATTTTTAGCTTGATTATCTTACTGTCAAGCACTGAGAATAGTCAAGCACACTGTCTTACGAGACAACAATTGTTTATCAAAGTAAAAAAAGTCAAGTATTCTTTATTTGTACTAAAGATGATATACGGTTATATAGTCGTATGTATGTATCCCGTTGCATGTTTTACTATAGCCTCGAGCCACCAGGCTTTAAACCAAAGGCGAGGTTTATATAAAACACATGCAAGGATTATTTAAACGAAAGGCAAGGATTATATAATCCAAAGACAAATATTATTTAAAAGGAAAGGCAAGGATTATATAAACCAAAGGCGAATAGTATATTAACAAGGATTGCATTCAATATGGACCATATAACCTGTCAACATAACTTAAACCATACCATACAAAAAAGTGTTCATGTACTGGTCTAATTTAAATGATCATATTCTGATTAGATCTTTTTTCATGCCCATTTTTAGCTCACCTGTCACAAAATGACATGGTGAGCTTTTGTGATCGCTTTTATGTCCGGCGTCCATCCGTCTGTAAACTTTTAATTTCAACGACATCTCATAAACCACTAAGCCATTTTCATCCAAACTTCACAGGAATGTTCCTTTTGTAGTCAACTTTAAAAATTGTACAAAGAATTAAATTCCAAGCAGAAGTCTGGTTGCCATGGCAACTGAAAGAAAAAACTTCAAATATCTTCTTTTAGAAAACTGAAAGAGCTAGAGCTTAAATATTTGGCATGAAACATCATCTAGTCAGTGTCTACCAAGTTTGTTGAAATAAATGCCCTGGGATCAAAATTAACTTAAAAAAATCTTCTTATAAAAAACCCAAAGAGCTAGCGTTTAGATACTAAGCATGAAATATCTTCTAGAGAGAATCTACCAAGTTTGTTCAAATAAAAGCCCTTGGGTCAAAATTGGACCGTCCAGGGGGGGGGGGGTTCATTGTTTTTCCCTATATGTATATAGTAAAAACTTTAAAAAAATCTTATAAAAACCCCAAAAAGCTAGAGCTTAGATAATTATCATGAAACATCTTCTAATGGGTGTCTACCAAGTTTTTTCAAATAAAAGCCCCATTTTAAAATTGGCTTTGGTCCAGGGCCTATATACAGGCGAGCGATTTCAGGGCCATCATGACCCTCTTGTTCTTTAAATGTAGAACATAAGCATTGTGTCGATAAAATCTTTCAGATGCACTTTATCATATGGTTTGCAAACACGTGGAAGATGTTACTAACAAATAATATTTATATTATAAGATATCACATTTTATTTGAATAGAAAATTTGCGTCATTTATAGTACAAATGATATTTGTTAAAAATGAGACATAATAAAATGAAAAACTGGATAAAAACAAAGTATACTTTGTTATGATTATTGTCCCTGTTACTGGCCTAAACATGTTAACACACACATGTTTATTCTATAAAACAAAAATAGTGTTTAAACTTAAAAGACTGATTTTGAGATAGGATAATGATAGACTCCCTGAGATTCCAGGACAATAGGTTCCAAGCGGTGGACAATACAGTTTGAACAGAACAGATGTCAAAATAAGACATTATTTGAGCTGTGAAGTTTCATAATGTTATTAGAATACCGTTATTAATCTCAAATATCAATGAACAATTTTGGTTTTACAACACTTACGACTGATATATGATAATTTGATTTTTTAAGTAAAAAGCACATTTGTATTCTTTGCTACAAAAACACTGATGCCCATTCATAACTATTTGGAGCTGAATTTTAGTAACCTGCACCTAAAAATCGACTGCTCAGCATATCACCTGCTTCCATGCCTGTATTCACAAAAAAGAGGTAGCGTCTGTATTTGGAGATAACTCTCCAAGTATTAACAGTCAAACGTGTGAACAAAAGCCGGCAAATGGAAATACCAAAAATGGCTTTGAGTACCCCTGAAGCCGGTGCTAGGGCGCGTGAGGGATGTGGCACTTTTTCATTTCCCTCATGTACAGACTCGAACAAACCGAGTCTGCAAATTTTCATGTAATTTTGCTGTTTTTAATGGTCCCGAGAGATCACTTTTTCCAGATATTTTTATATACAAGTGGTCTATTTAAGGTCATTCTGTTTTATTTAATCAATAAAAGATTTCCAAATGGTGGCCTTTCTTCAGAGGTGATCCTTAACACAGATTTGACTGTAATGAAACATTATACATCGTTGGTATCGACAACTGGAACTTGCAAATCCTGTTTATTTGATTGATATTGTTCTGTGTCATAAGGCGTGTAAGTCCTACTTATTCTTGATGATGTGAAGATGTCACCATTTTCATCCAGTAAAGAATCCGTGTCGTCTGCTGGTTTTATTGTTTGGTTATTTTTAAGAGGAAATTCGGTAACTATGGTTATATCAACTGTTGGTACTGGTTGTTTCTTGAAAAATCGTAAGATGTATTGTTCAAATGAAATCAGAAGGCCAGCTAGTAAAAATAGGCAACCAGTTAATATCAGGGATGCATGCCAGTTACCCGTGTAATCTTTCAGCCACCCTGTAATTAAGAATGATTAAAGTTTTATGTAGAATATAAGTTATTTCAGACAAAGATTTCTATTACAGACCCTAAATAAGTGTCTCAGCCATAGCGTACTTTAGGATATTATGTTTTGTAAACTCTACGAAACAAAGAATGTCTGGTTCTTATTTGTAGGACATCTTTTATGAAACATTCACCATTTCTTAACATTTAAACTGCACTTCTACAATATGCATTGATTGGGTGCATATAAAAAAGAAATATGTGCATGAGAAAAAATCAATTAAGATCTGAATGTGAAAAAGAATTCATTTAGTACTGGATGTTATTCATAATATTTATGTTGATCAATTATTGTTGAAAATGTGATATACCACCTTTCTTTGCTTAAATCTAAAATGATGAGCATAACTTTCCTTAATGGTTACGTTACTCCAAATGAAATTACTGTAAAGTATTATTTTATATAACGTTAAGAAGTGAAGTGAGAAATTACGTAAAGATATGTTGTAAGAATACGTACCAACAGCTGGCTGACTTATAACAACACCTAACGCCAAACAAAGCATAACAAGGCCAAATGCTGGCGCAAAATCTTCCATTCCAACAACATCAATTATCAAAACGGAAACTAAGCTCCAAAATGATCCTGGAAACGTCCCGATTACACCAGCATATATCCCAAGAAAAACAAAACTGTCGAAGAAAGGTGCAATGAAACTAAACACAGACGCAATGAGCATGCTAAAGAGAAAAATATGTTTTCTTTTCATGATGTTTCGATCAGCTATTAAGCCAAATGCAATTCTTGCAACAACCTCGCACCCTCCCATTATTGTCACCCCGTACACCGCATGCGTAGTGTCATATCCAACATCTTTGATATGGGCAGGTATCATTATAAGGTTATTTCCATACCCGTTCATACAAAGTACAAAACTAACGCAATACATTGAAAATCTTGGATTTCTGAATAGGGAAAAGCGAAAATCCAATCCGTAACAATTGGTCAACGTGTCCTTAGATTTCTGTTTATCAAGGCCTTTCTTCAATAACAGTTCTTGATCTTTCCTTGAACCTGTTGATTCTTGAGATTCTTTTTCTTTCAATAAAAGCTTAGGTTGTTTGAAGACACATGCAGCTACGCAGACATTCAACAAAATGCCGCCAATTACCCAGAATGTCCCATGTAAGCCGTATTTCTTAATCAAGAAACTGAAATAAATAGGGATATGTTAATTTCCGGACAATATAAAACTCAATTTATTTCTATAACATTTGAGTTGAGAAATAGAAAATACCAGGGTTGTTCAAATATGAATGCAACTAGGCCAATATCTAGCTTGTAACCACGAACTATATACATTTATCGCATAGATGGTTGTGTAGGCTCTCAATTGATACAAAACATGTGTAAATCAGTTCAGTCTAGCTTTGAAAATAGCTCGATTAACTATACTAAAGCTAAAATGGTTGGGTTTTGGTCTCCTTTCACTGACCAAATTCAGTCCTATATCTATACAGGCAAACTACACATTTAATGAACTATGTTGTGTTTATGAGAATAATGGACTTTATAATGTGTCACACGGTGGTGTATGAAATTTAAAAGTTATGTGAATTCAGTAAAAGATGCACCTTATGAACGCCGTCCGAAAACTGCAGCTTCGCCAAAAATGGTTGAAAAAGTAAAGGATTTGATTGCTACTGATGCAAGATTTACAACTAGGCATAAAGCTGAATGCGTTGGTATGTCTGGAGGAGCCGCTCAATTCTCAGACGTGACTTAAAAATGAGAAGGATAAGAGCCAGATGGATACCCCATCTCCTTACAAAAGTGCAATAACTTGCTCGGATAAGAATCTCCAAACAATTGTTAAACTAAATTGTTCTCTAAATCACCAATCGATCTTTCACAAATATCATCAATGATGTTCACTTTAATAGTTTATGAGCCCAAGCTAAAGATACATAACAAAATATGGGCAACCAAAGCTTAGGGAGTCAAAGACTTTGCACAGCAAAACGCACAATGAGCGCCAAAAAAGGTCATGTGTGTAATTTACTTTACCAATCAAGGTCCTGCTATTCAAATTGCCACACCAAAGGGTAAATCTGTAAATGCTAAGTTTTACAAAGGCAAGGTTCTTAGTAAAATAAGAAATATTTCAAAAACCGTCCACCAGCAACTGGTCTCCGTGGTATCAGGTTGTTGCATGACAAAGCAGTCATTTTACGAGAAAATCTGAAACAGGAAAAGGTTTTCGAGCATCCTCATTTATCTTGTCTTGTCACATTTTTCTATTTCCGAGGCTCAGAAAACACCTTACTGGAAGAAAATATCAAACGCGAAAATCTCGGTTTTTTTTTCCAGTGTCTGAACAGTATACCTCGAAACGATTATGAAATTGGATTAAAAGACTAAAACTTGGTATATCACACGGTGGTGAGTATTTTGAAGGACTGAGATAATTGTTTTAGCACTGTTTGTTGCATGAGCGCTTCTGAAAATTGACCCAGTTGCATTCATATTTGAACACCCCTCGTATAAAGTGAAATGAAATTTTGGGAACCTATTTCAAATCTTATGATACTACCCTGTAAACTAATGAATTAAGTAATATGACAGGGACAGTACATGTAAAATTTCAAAAGACAACAACCTATAAATAGCAGGATATGTCAACGCCCCTATTCCACTCCCAGAAACGACAATTCCGTTAGCAAGTGCTCTGTGCTTCTTGAAGTAATAACTGATGATAGTTGAACAGGGTGAAAACGACAAACCATATCCAAGACCTATACGAAAAATATTACAATGTTCAGGTTATTATATCTTTTGCGGTCTTGTATTCTGATAAGAAAATAACTCACTAAATAAAGATAATATAAAGATAATATTTGATTGTCGAATCATTCGAGTAGCTTGTGGAGTTATTTCCTATTTTTTTGTAATCTGAATACAAAAGAAGTTGAGCATTGTTATAGTATAAAGTCATTTTATCAAAAATTCACTAACAGAAGTATGTAGCTCAAAAGATGCTTTGTTATCTAATGTCTATTTTTACGTTGTGGTATAACTGATAGGTGCTATATTTTACAAATAACCAGACAAAACTTGTGGTTCAGATAATACTGGTGGTCGAAATGATTTCATTTCTAACCTGCGCACCCTCCCATGGTCAGGTACATGATTTCCATCTTTGGCACAAATCCCGACATAAATAACCCAGACACAAAAGTAAACCGCCAGCAAATGCCACACGTCGGAATAAAAATTTTCGACTGAACGAGTTGGCCACTGGAGCTGTGGATGGTGATAAAATTAGAAACTTAAAGGTCACCGAGTACATAGTTTATTTAGTTGTTCTGAAAAACATTTATATAAATGAGGATTTTGATTTGTTTTGCAATACCTTAAACTATCTATTTAAGGTATGAAACAATAAGCCATCCACACGCAATATAGATTAATGTCAAGATTATTGCAGTAGGGTCTTTCAAATAGATTCACAGACATCGATTGCCGGATAGAAGAATTTCAAAACATTAAGTCAATGTGGACTGACATTTTATCCTTATGACATGATGTGGAGTTGATAGATACACAGAGAACTACATATTTACTTAAGTTATATTGTGGAATAATTAAGAAGCCCTCCAAAAGCAAAGTAGATTAATGTCAAGATTATCTAATTATTTATGGCAACAGGGTATTTCCAATAGATTAAAATACCCAGATTGCAGGATAGAACATTTAATAATTGAATGAAGTTTCTGTGAACTGACATTTATCTTTGTGACACGAGTGTTGAGTAGATATATACACAGAAAACTCCTTCCAAGTGCAGTCAGAGCAGAAATATAATATATAACATTGATATATGTGCGAGTTACGGCATTGTATACAAAGTGGTTAAGTCAATCAGATTTCGAGAATCTTATACGTAGATTTTTTATTATATATTTTTATAAATCTATATAGATACTGGGAGATTTTACCTGATACATTTTGTAGTTTAGACAATTACACATACTCACATAGCCCTAATAATAGTAGAAGAACCATGCTCCCTATCCAAGCTGTATTACCAGATCCTGTGCCATAATAAGACACCATTTCTGTATACAATATACCATAAGCCTTGATAGTTCCAATAACAAGAGAATACATCATGAAACATCCTGTAATGAAAAGTTTCTTTGTTTAATACATTTATTAGCTTCTTTTCAATTTAAAAGGGAATCCACTGATGTTGCTTTTGACTGGTAAAAATCTTCCAAGATAAATACTGCATTTGATGAAGGTCTAGTTTAATAGCTATGTGCAAAAGTTGAGATAATTCACTCACTCCGTTTTGTTTTTCAGAATAACTATTCTAATTGAGAAAAATGAGCAACATTTAAAAGCGCTTTTACTCAAATCGGGCTAAGAATATCACAAGCATACAATATGCAATTCATTTCTGAGTATATTTCTTAATTACATGTATCTGTTACATATCTTTCTGTTATAAGTGTCCGGCTGATCTATGTAAGAAATTCGAATTTTATAGTTTTAGGCGTTTGGACCTCAGTGAATTGCCTTTTTACAATATATTGAGAATGGTTCCTTATCTGCACAAGAAAAAAAAGTAAATATCATATTTAAAACAAGTAAACAAAATTTGCATGACGACAACAACCAAAGAAAATAAATAATAATAATAATAAAACAATCTAGTCCTCTGATTAACACAGAAGATGATATACATTTTGAAAAAGATAAATCAAATTTTACGTCAGTATAAAACATTCGAGTAGGTTGGAACTGGTCAACCTATTATATACCTTGCCGCTGTAACATTAAATTTTGACCCTGTTGAGAAATGACCCTAAGGGTCATTTTTCAACGTTGAGAATTGACCCTGGGTCATTTCTCAACGGTCACGGGTCAATTCTCAACGTTGAATTTTGACCCACCCGTTAAATTTTGATCAGTAATGTGAAGGTGTTGAAAAATGACCCGGGTCGTAATTGCAACGTTGAAAAGTGACCCCAATTTTTTGATATTTGGAATGTAAGTTTTAAGGTTAAAGTGCATGGAGGTATGAAACGTCAAAACGCATTAATGGGTAAACTTAAAGCCTGTTGGTGCGTCCGTCCGTTGTTTCCACAGATTGCATTACCTTTAAATCTAATTTATCGTTCTTTATGTAGTAAAACAAATGAAAAATACAGTTCAGCAACATTTTGGGGATATATATTAAAATCGTGCAATAAAATCGAAGTTATTTAAGTTATGAGACGTCGCATGAAACAGGTCATTAATGAACGAGCGTAAATGAGGTCATTTTTATTTCGCTGACATTAAATGATATCTCTATACAGACGGCAAATGTCATAATTATGTGTCTGCCCCTTACTCTTATCCCATTTACGGCAGCATCCTAAAAAAAGTTGGGCTTGATTTTTGTGTGTTTTGTTTTGTAGTTTAAAGATTAATCTTATTTTTAAGTACATGCGGTGAAAAATTTAAGTGAAATATGTTATTTAAGGTTTGGAAAATTGAAGAAAGTATTTGGCACCCACGCTTGGTTTTAAGATTACCTTTACATAATGGTGTACCCCCCCCCCCCCCGTCTGTCAAATTGTGCCCAGGCTTATCAACTGCAGCTATTCATGATATTTAAGCTACTTTACTCCGAGGTAAATTCCAATCCCTATTCCTTGAATATATGAATCGAGAGTCTTACTCCCCTATAAACCAAACACTGAATTGTCCTTCGTACGGTGTACTGTTAGGGCCATCGCGTTTTTCTCTGAGGACGGAAAAACGGGCGAAGCATGACAGTACGATGGTGACAGTACGACAATACGATGGTGACAGTACGACAATACGATGGTGACAGTACGAAACAGTACGATGGTGATCAGTCCATCGACTGTCGTAGTGTCACCATCGTACTGTCCGTACTGGTCACCCCTCGTACTGTCGTAGTGTCACAATCGTACTGTCGTAGTGTCACCATCGTACTGTCCGCCTTCCGTTAGCGCATGAACGCGCAGCCAAGATTCCCACCACTGCCTGCAAGCTCAGTCTGTCGAAGAAAACATTCAATGTGTAGTTTTTTCGTGGAAAAATGCATAGGCTTGGAACCATAAAAGAATGTTTACTTGTAAGTAACTTGTATCAGTGTGAAACAGGCTGAGCAAGCATTTTTAGTATTTACAGTTAATAGCATTTTTTTTCTGGCATTGGCGGAGGCAGTGGGTTCGAATCCCATGCTAGGAGGTGTTATTTTGAAGCCTCTTCAAAATATTTTTGACATGATAACCATAATTACATAGTAAATACTTCAATATGTCATTGTCGTAGTAACGTGTTGAGTAACTCACTTTTTGTTGCCATTAAAATCTATAATTTCTAATCTTTTAGTCCGAATGAGCTAAAATTCCAACTTGTGCCCAGTCAGGTTAATTTGATGTGTATGAAATTAATACATAGTACTAACCACGCAAGGACGCCACTGTTAGCTAACGTTAAACATTTGGCTTATTCAAACTCGAATTTGAATTTGCCTAAATATGAAATTGTCTCACTCGTGAATTAATGTATATATGAGTAATGTAGCCGTCTTACATTTCAGGTAACAGTGTCTTAAAGAATAAAGGTTTCAGGAAGGCTTCAACAATAACATTATATATACAGGCAATTCGAATCGCCTTCAAAATTAATAGAAACATTTATTTAAAATGTACCTAAATAGCCACTTCCACCTGTCTTTGATTCCAGTGTTGGCGTCTTTTCAAACTTTAACTGATTCAGTTTCCTTTTCAATTGACGGACACTAATATTACAAAGAAAACGTACAATAGCCTGAACAAGAGCTGTCAGTAGGACAGTGCGCTCGACTTTTCGTGTTTTGCCAATAAACAAGCAATCAAAGTTAAAACATGTATCTTTCAAGGATGAGGGCAATATTCAATGTATTTTTTGAATTAAAGGGGCATATTACTGTCAAAATCTTGACAGAGTTGTGTACTCCTGTCCTGTTGATGGATGTCATGATGGCAAGTAAGTATGATTTAGTTTCAAAGCAATATCTCAAACTGTTTTGAAATCAAATGAGGTGGAACGAAATACTTAAGCAATATTATATGTCGATCAAGGTCCTTAAATTTTTTTAAAGTAATGCGTGACAGAGTTATCATCTCTTGTCTATAGATAGGGGTAATGATTAAAGCAGCATTCAAAGTTTCAAGCACCATCTCAAAGGGTTGGGCATAATTCTATAAAACACTCGAGACACTTATATATACTCTTGTCTTTTGATTAGGTCTTCATGGTAAGTACATATCTTTAGTTTAAAAGCTGTATTTGTAACGGTTTTGAAATAAAGTGAAGTGTTAACCAAGCTCAATACACTTTGTAAGTCCAAAAAGGCTCATAATTCTGTCAAATCACTTACAAGTGTCACACGGTTATTTGCAGATGACAGATCATTAGCAGTAAGTTCACGAGATAAAAATCATATTGAAATTACTATCAACCGCGATCTTGAAATTATATCTGCCTGGGCAAAACAATGGTTAATACAATTTAATGCTGCCAAAACGGAAGTTATGTATTTTTCACTGTCAAAAAATAATCGCGATGCCCCCGACATCTACTTTCAAAATACACATCTTAATTTCGTTCATTCACACAAGCATTTAGGAGTAACATTAAGTGATGGAACATGGCATCAACATATTTCGAATATAACAACATCATCTTCTAGAATTCTAGGTACAATGCGAATGCTTAAGTTTAAACTTAAAAGGAAAACGCTTAATCAAATTTACATATCGTATTTAAGACCGATAATTGAATATGCCTCATTGGTATGGGATAGCTGTACTTTGTATGAACAGAATGTCCTTGAAAGCATTCTGTACGATGCTGCGCGAATTGTGACTGGTCTAACAAGATCAGTATCAACGCGAAATTGGCTGGGTCTCACTTGCAGATAGAAGGAAAATGCAAAAATTGATTCTTGTTTTTAAACATAGTCGAGGCGAGCTTCCCTGTTATTTGAGCGACATCTTCCCAGAAATAGTTGGTAAATATAGTACATATAATTTAAGAAACAACGAGAATTATGCAAACGGTTGCCCGACGATTAGAAATTTATTCGAAATCAGTTATACCCTCTTCTATTAAAGTATGGAATAGTTTAGACCTAGATACTCGTAATAGTCACTTTCAGCATTCAAAGCCAGACTTAAAATTATTTTTTTCTCGGCCTCAAGCTCCGTCATACTTTCTTACAGGTGACAGGTTTCTTTCAAATTACCACACAAGAATTAGAAATAAGTGTAGCAATCTTAATGCCGATTTACACTATAACCATTTACGCGACAATCCAATTTGTGAATGCGGTTTTAGTTCTAAAGACGCTGACCATTACTTTTTCAAATGCCCACTGTATACTGATCAGAGGTGTACCTTATTTATTAATACACGTACTTACCATCCTTTAAGTGCCTATAAATTTTTTCGGTATCAATAACCTTAGTGATGAAGAAAATAACATGTTATTCCATCATGTTCAAATTTTTATCAAACGATCAAGAAGGTTTCAAAATGTTTAAATCCTAGTTCCTAAAGAGTGCTCTTAATTGTTGTCCTTATTTACTATATTCATACCAAGGATAAAACGGACGGGCGGGAACTTCGACACACGGCTTCTTCTACTCTTTTCATTTTTTTTCTCTATTGTCTTTTTTTTTCTTTCAAAATCATGTTTAGTCACTGTTTTTTTAGCATCATATTAATTATTTCCAGACAATTTTCTTTGATTGCTTATATATACTATTATCAATATCAATTGAGACTAATTGGGAAGGGCCAACCCTCTAATGTTGTTAAAACTTGTGGCCCGACCCTTTTGCTTTATAATTAAAAACTGCATCATACATGTAAATTCTTGAAAATAACTTTGTATTGCATGTGAAATTGTATCTATATTGTACATAAAGAAAAACAATAAAATATGATTAAACTAAATTTAAATGTTGCAAAGAATGCCAAAAACCAAAAGCTTCTGATGCAGAAGTGCAAAAATAATCAATTTTCCTCACAATTCTTATGCAATTCAAATGTTATCTTTTCACAATTGACCATGACAGCTCAAAGTCTGTTTTTGTAGCTCAGTT